TATATATATATATATATATATATATATATATATTTTAGAATATTCGATTCACTTATATCACAACTGTGCTGCGAAGAATTTCAACAGATTAGAAATCAAAATTAAAGATTGTTTTGCTAGTAAATAACATTCAGAAGAAATTTATTTGTAAACAATTTAAGAACAAATTTCTTCTAAAAATTCACTACTTTAGCATAAAGATTTAGAGTTTTTAAAAAAAGAATAGGAAATAATTATCAAATTATATTCTTGAATTTGCTAGAGCAATAGTAGTCTGTAAAGAAGCGCGATATTCCTTCAAAGTTACGATCAAAAACAATCAGAGATCAAGCACTGATAATGATCAGTCAATGTTATCGCTTGTAATTGTGGTTATTTGATGTCAGTAACATACCTTCATTATTCTAATTCAGAATCTTTTTTGCATTCTATCAGTTTTATATCATTCATTAAAGATTGTTTTTTGTATTTTTGTTAGGCTGTGAAAAGCTCAATTTTCTTAAAATCAAAATTTGTGAAGCATTTGCAAAATGAGACGCAAAACTATAATGAATTCAATCTGTATGTTGTAAAACATTTAAAACTTTTCTCAAAAATTAAGAACAATAAAGTTTATAATTTTTATTATGTTAACTAAAAAAAACAAACTTGACAGGGTTTTTTTGGGAAACTTTTTGCTATTTCAAAGCTGATTCAAAAACTTTTTGCAGTTTTGAAGTAAATCTACGAGAATGTCAGAAATGAGTCGACATGCTGTTGATTTATCAGTTGCTGCAGAACGATTCAAGCTTATAAATTTAGATTCTGACACAGATTCTTTCCTACCATTTCGTGGTTTACACACATTAATTCAACGAAATTATGAAAATCAAAGAAAGGAACATGTTAGTTACAAAGGAACATGCAATTTTTCACTTCAAAAATTACTTCTTTATTGAACTTACTTTGATATAAAGACTTTCTAAAAGATTCTCGACTCTATATTTGCATTTTATCAACTCGGCAACACAGTCCATTTATTTAGATATGGTTTGACTTAATTTTTTGCTGATTTTTCAAAATGACTCTCCCAGAGGAATCATTAGGTTTGCTGATCTTCAAACATACAATTGAGCTTAATTATAGTGTAAATCTGAATTGTTTTGTTTCTTTTCTTTTAATTATTCGAAATTAGGTCGAACTCGTACGTGAGAAGCAACAAATGAGGGAACAAAACGCCACAGAAGAAGAATTGGTATATTTTCTTGCCTATTTATTTTAAAAAATCCGATAACATTGAAGTAAATTCATTGAAATGAGTTACAGTACTCATAGCACATCCTAGTTGATAGAAATGAACTCATACAACTTTTTCTTCTGTTCTGTTACTTTTTATAAACTTGGGTTGGATTCTAGTAATATTTTTACTGGTGCCATAGAGCTTTAACTTTTTCATTTGACTGGTTGATAAGTGATTAAGAGCTAGTGAAGAGTACAACTACCTGAAGTTTAGTTTTTGCTGAATCGCTTTTAAAATTTTTCTCGCTTAAATTGACACTACTCTTTGTAATGTATTCAGGAGTCATTGGAGCCAGCACTGAAAGATGCTGAATTTTGGCTGCAAATATTCAAAAAACTGGAAGATACTTTTGAAGAAGAAAACAAAAAGTTACTATTGGCCAATGAAATACTAAGAATTGTTCGCAAGTTTACTATTGTTTTCAAAATATTTAAATTTTTGTATTAATTTTGAAGATACAGTACTGTAATCAATGCAAAAATGCAAGGGATCGACTAATTTTATTTGTTTTTCTTGCTTTTCGAGAAAATGACACGAAAACACGTATGGAATACCTTTCAGAGAGATGAAAATGAATTCAGAACTCGTATGGCTGATCTCTTCCGTTACGATCAACTTGTAAAATGGTTACAGATTCCTGTAATACGTGAAGCATTTCGCAAGGGAGCTGATGAAAGCGTAAATATTTCAAATAAATTATAACCAAATAAAATAAAACATAAATTGAATAAGTAATTAAATGTATGACCAACAATTTTTTACGCACCAAAAGCTTAAAAAGTGCTTCAGAGAGTAATTAATTAAAATAGAACGCAACTAAGTGATATGTAATGATTGAGAATAAAAAATTTTTGTGGCTTGTTGTTTGAATAAATTTTCTGCCAAGAAATACAGTATAAAAAGTTTTAGATGGCTTGGGACACGTGGGAAATATCGCTCTTGGATAAACTTGGTGATATTTTTAGTCTAAAACCAGGTTTAGGCAATTATCAGGAAGTTTGGAAGAGTGCTTTAATTTCTTTGCGCAAAATTAACTTGAGAGTATTGTACGGTGATACAGAAGGTCCGGTAAAAAACTTAATAGTCATTACAAAATTTATTTGACCAAAAAGATGACATGAAGAATTAAAATGACATTGAACAAAAGTTAAAAAACTGTAAAATAAATCAATTTTCAAAACTACAAAAACTGCTACAAAATTGTTCTCGTAAAGTATTGAGTCTCCAGTCTTGAATTTGCTTACTTTTGTTGATAAATCCTTCATTTATAAGAAGAGAAGATATGATTTTCAGCTGAAGTACCGTTTTCTTGGCAGCGTAACGTTGCATTACAAACTAAACTTATAGCTGTGCAAGAAAAACCCACCGAACTGGCTATAGATGATGCGACGCAAGCAACACAGAAACCATTTTGGAGTAAGTTATTCTTTCGACCTCACTTGCCTTCTGTTGGTGTTGGAATATTGCTGGCGTTGTCAACACAATTTATCATCCTTTATATTACTCCTTATTGAATGGAATTAAGCTTGATAACATTTTGAATGATGATTTTATTTGTATGAACTTTCTTAATTAAATGAAAACTCATTAGATCAAATGATATTTGCTCACTGATGTGAATTTCAACTTACAAAAACCGCATTTTCACATGTACCAAATATATTATCAGATTATAATAGTGTGATGTCTTACTATTGGCATGTTTTTGATTTTTCTTATCACTTATAGTTAAGAGTGTCTTAGTTTGATACGCATTTTCCACTCTGCCTGAATATAAACATTGACTGATTAATTCAAGATTCCTTTTGAATGTCATAACTTTGGCACATCACAAACTCCTCCTTGTTGTCATAGTGTTTTTTGTTGTAGAATGTTAGTTTGTGATGGATCTCGTGAAAAATCCTCCAAGAAACTTAAAGGCTATTTTGAGTTCAGTTCTTGTAGATGCATACACTGTTGGCTTTGCTAAGTTTTCTTTCATTATGCTTTTGTCTGCATCTTCATCATTGATAGTGATGTATTTGAATAGCAGCATATTTACATCCATTCACGACAAAATTAAACCTCAGAGAAAGGTTCGAAAAGCAGAAACACTATCAAATATTTTTTGGCTATTCTGTTGCATTTACTGACACAAAAATTTTGAGCAGCTTATGACTGTTATCTAGAAAGGTCAAGGAGACAAGAAGGATTAAACTGCCAATTAGTTTGAGCAAGAATAAGTCTAACACAAATCTTATTTTATAATCATGCTTTATGTCATGCAAAAGCATGAGAAATGTAATAATATCGTTGAATATTATTAGATTTTTCTCAAATCTGAGAAGACAAACATTTCATATTAAGTAATTACTATATCCATTATCATTTGAATCAATTAGAATATTTTTCACAGGTTTATAAAATACCCTCCATATTTTAAATTTATGCGTAATTTTGAATTTGGGTCTAATATATCAACTTTTAATAAGACAATGTGTTTTAGGGTATGATTCCCCCTGAATTTCTTATCTAATCCAGTAATGATTGTATCCACTCTTTATAACATGCTAAAATTTTTGATTTTGAATCAATCTGGATAAATAGCCTTAGAGTACTCTGAAATCATATCATGTATTCCATGCTTCACTGGTAACGTTTGCTTCACATAAACGATGTGCACAATAATTCGTGCAGAAACTTTGCATAAATTATTGTGCAATATTGTTTGCTCTGTCTAATACAATTCACTTTTGACTTTCAACTTGCTACAGCTCGAAGTAAAAAATAAAGTTTCATACAGAAAGTGGCCAAGAAATTCTTGCTTCGTAATTTTTTACAGTTTATCTATGTATGGCACCACTATTCTTCCCTGCTATTTGCAGTTAACCCATTAATAAGATGCCTTGTGAAAGATTTGGAATTAAAGCTGAAATTTTTAGTGCTTATATTTGAGAATATTTTGAGCGCTTGGAACAATTGCCATTAAAATAACATTTTATCTAAAACAAAATTCAAAAATTGTAATAATTTAAAAACTACTTATTACTGTGATTAGTAATACCATTTGAGGATAATGATGGCATAAGAACTTTTCGGCAATTATTCATGACTAGTTTTGTCATTTATCCATGACTACTCCATATTATTTGTTACAGAAATTGCTAATTAAACAATCACAATTAATTTAATCCCTAAATATCCTCAGTTTCTCGAAAACTTTAATTAATGTTTTCCAAAATTCAAACATCAATCATTAACTATCAATACTAAATCAGATATAAAAATGCAAGATATTAAAATAAATTATTAATCGAAATTGAAAATCAGAATTAAGAAATTTTCAAAGTTTTCATTGTTTCATGGCCGTCTTCGCTTTTTTAGGACTTTTCTTCTGTTCATTAAGCGTTGATATTACAACGCCACAAGGTAAACATGATGGTGGAGTTTCTGTACCATTATATGGGTGTTCTGGATCGTAGTCTAATGGTTGATCAGCGGGAATCTTATTCTGCTATAAGTTTGGTTAAATAGCTTTGATAATCTGCTATTTTTAATTGTAAAATAATATTAAACTTCAAAAACAAGTACAAGCTTTTTGTGCATTACAAAAAAATATAAATTTTGCATACTTTAGCAATATGCTTGAGTAAATAATAAATATAGCCATAGTCAGGAATACTAGCATATTGCAAATTATCAATGTAATTCAGAATCATCCGGTAATGTGGTGTTGGACAACCCTCGAGCAATATATCAGCTCCATCCGGTTCTCGAATTTGTTCCTTCATCATTAGAATCTGATCCCGATCATGATTCTAAAATCACTTCATATCTACAAATAAATAACTAGCTATGCAAAAATCTGAGCAATCAAGTAAAAATACTGTAAGTAAAAATATAAGAAATGAAAGTGAAATATATGTGATCTATAATTGCGCAATTAGAATCTTGAGAATTACATTTTTATTTTCTAGAAAGAATACGTCAAAATGCATTAGGCTACTTACTTTTACTAGGTTTCACTTTCATATTTGAATGCCGCGAAGAAAATGTTAATTTACTTTTGTTGCTCAAAAACAATAAACTCATTGTCAAATTCCTACTCAAGCAGGATTTAGAATAGATTTCATGAAGGTTTACTCGAAATCGTCTCCAAGGCAATGCACCCACAGTCCATTCAACAACCATGTAAAACCACGACTCTATATCATCCTTTGGGGATTGCTCTTTTCTTCGGTGACTACTTAGTGATGCGTACCTCGGAGTACCACGAAATGGAGCAGTTTGACGAGGTAATCGGCAGTCTTTATCGAGAGTTCTAAAATGCATATTTTTATGGTTGAAAGCGTTACACGTTTCATGATCTGAGTGTGATCAAAGAAGGTCAAGTTAGATCAAATTAGACTAGATAAGTGTAAGCCAAATTATTTTCAAAATATTAGACATAGCTTTCTGTAATTAGTGAAACAAAATTAAATCAAGCACTTTTTAAAGGTTCAAGTGTAAGCAAAAACTAACGCGAATTGCCTTGCTAGACCAAAATCAAAAATATAAACAATGTGAAAATCATTTGTTTCTTGACGACCAATGCCAAAATTTGAAGGTTTGATATCGCGATGAAGAAATCCAATGCAATGCATATCCTTAATAAAAATGGCGAATGAAAATAAGAATTCAAAAAAGCTTGAAAACTGAAATGCTTCAGGAATTTCTGATAAAATAATTTTGAAGTAGTGAAGTTTAGTTTAGAAGGATTCAAAATCTTGCAGATTTTGTAAGATATTTGCAAATCAAAACTTGTAAAGCCTCCAAAGATTGCTGCGCAAGTCTCAGTGCCGTCCCAAGTGAGAAACGATGTTGTGGTTGAGATGTGCGTAAGACATGCAAGCTTGATCCAAGCTGAAACTTGCAATCTCATTAACTTTTTAAATGTAATTCAATAATTTTTAAAATAGTGTTAAATTTTTTTATTTGATTTTTGACACCATGTTTTAGTAAATTTTAAGCTACTCTTAATGACAAGAGTTTCAATTTTTAAAAATTTATCCACAACTTTTTATTTTCATTTTTACAAAATACTTTCAGAACAGCCACTGACTCTATTTTGATCATATTGACTGAAAAAAATCATAATTGCTAACACATGTTTGATCATTTTTGATAATTTTTGTTTCGGTCAAATATGATCTAAGACAAGACTAATTACAATAATTTTTCTGTCTGCGAAGACAGTACTTGCTATCTAAAACTTTAAGACTCAAGAATCTTGTAATGATTCTAAGAAAACTTTCATGCCTTTGAAGAAAATGCAACTTAATTACTGTTATCAATTTTTAATTCAAATATTCTTTGAGCTAACCATTGTGATAATAACAAAACGGAATCGCCCAACCACTTTACCTACTTCAAATATTTTACAAAAATGTGGGCTTCCTAACATTTCTGCTCCTCTCAATACCAAACAATCCATCAAAAGTACCTGAAAATTAAGTCCGTTCAAGTTCAATTTTCGTGATTGCTATGTGGAAATAAACGTTGGCACTATTTTTTATTTCATATGCGAAAAGAGTATTTAACCTGTTTTTTATATTTTATGCAAAGTATTTCTTAGTAAAATGAATCAGAATTACTTTTCTAGAACGATCATATGATTCTAGCTTTGCTGCATACATTTCGTTGTTTGTAGACGCTTGTACTTGAAATACGGCTCCAAAGCCGCCCTTGCCCAGAAGTTTCACGACCTGCTCTTGGGAATTTATTTAAAAATTTGTGAACGATTAGTTTATTGCTCCGATAGCTAATTAATGAGCAGTATATTTAAGCTTCTTTTAAGACTTTGTTCGTTTTTTTAATATTCTAAAATAAACTATGCTCAAAGCAAAGTTAGTGATGATAGTAAATGATAAAATTTATTGAATTTGATTATTATAGATAATGTGTTAATTGTGAATAGACTGCTTAACTGAACATATTTTAAATTTTTAACTTTGTAACTTTCAGAACAACAACTGACATTATTTTGATCACATTGCCTGAAAAAAAATCATAATTGCAAGTGCACGTTTGATCATTTTTGATCATTCTTGATCATTTTTGCTTTAGCCAAATATGATCTAAGTTCAGACTAATTACAAGACAATAAATTAGGCTAACTTTATAAGTAGCAAATTTTCCTTCAAAAGAAGTATTCTCTTTGGGGAAATCTTCAAGGGATAAATGCTCGTCTCGTTTAATCATTTCTAAGAAACGTCTAAGAGTAATGCCACCACCGCATACTTTTCCTCTAAGTAAAAACAGTGGCAGGTTCAAAATTGCAGCTCTTTTTTATCTCCATAAATGTATTAAATTAGATTAGCAGTGATTTAACAAATATCAAAAGTTTCAACTTAAATAGACTCAAAAAAAGCACATTAGTAATTGTGCTTTACTTTTGTCCATTTTTGAATTTTCATTGAAAATCAGTTTAGCTGAGAAAATATTAGTTTTTGTGCTTTTTGAATGGTAAATTTTGAAAACTTATTTGCACACTTTGCAGATGCAACGAATTTAAAAAATGCAAATTGATTCTAAATGCAGTTTCAAGTTTAGAAAGTATTTTATGCTACTTTCAGTAGAAAAGTGATTATTTTGAAGTACAAAAAATCAGAATTATTCACCTGGAGATGTTGGAATGCAAAAAATAATAATTTACATTTCAATTAATTTATTTGCATATTTTTTTATTATTTATTTATTTTTTATACTTTTTCATAGATTGATTAAGCATATACCATATGCAAATTATTTTTTGAAGTATGTTTGCTTCATTCATTTTCTTAATTCTAAATATGCTAATTTTTCATCGTTTTATTTGTCATTCACGAATTTTGTAAAACTGAACATAGGCAGCAAAATGATTTTTTAATCTGACTTTCAGCAGCAAATAAAATTAAGGGGTTTGCATTTGATTTGAATTTTTATAAAAATTTGAATTAATATTTTTTTACATTTTGTTTGAGATAAATAATTAATTTTGTTCTGTGACGATTAGCTTTCTTTTTGTTTTTAACAGAAAAATTCAGAAATTTTATCAAAAAAAAATCTTACAAAAATACATTTCAGACTCTTTAGTGGTTCCTTATTATAGCATTAGTAATACAGTAATCAAAGTACTGTGATTCGGTACAATGTGAGACATCAGAGTTTCGTTGGAATAGAAAACCAAATCTCATTAATCGCTGCCACAAAATTTTAAAAATTGGCGTACAAAAAAGCTACCAAATTGATAATAATTTTTATTAAGTATTGCAGTACTTTCCAAAAATTAAACAACTGCCGTTTCGAGATAAAATTTCAGTTAGATCACTTCTGACTGCTAAAAGATAGCTTTATCTGCTTCGCATAATATAAAATTTTACTGCAAATAAAAACTTATCAAATAATATGCATCGATTCTTTAAAATATTAAACAAAGTAAACCCAAAGATTTCAGTACCCTCCGGGAATCAAACTTTCTTTGTTCTTCGCATCTGCAAAAAACATTAGGGTTAAGGGTTAAGGATATTTGCAAAGTAGACTGACTGCAAATTTTCTTCTACTCAGTTAATTGAATTTGGTAAAATGCGAAATTGAACATCTTTAAACTTTGATATTCTTCAAACTGTTATTATAGAGTCCAAAAATTCGTGAAATGATTTTTTGATACCTCGATTTTCCTTCGGCATGTGGCATTCATGGCTACATTGAGAATGGTGTTGTTGTTCAGGGTATTCTTTCACCATCATTACTGGTTCGTTGGAATCCTTAATTGTATTCATTTTATTAGTACAGATCATTGGTGGTTTGAAAAAATTTCAGAAATATGTTTAAATTAAAAAAAGTTTAGCAGAATATTTTGGAATTGAGAAGTAATCAACTTAAAACAAATTTTCAAATTAAAACGTAAGTTGAATAATCAAAGTTTTTGTAATTAGGCGTTAAGAAAGCTCTCTGTGAAGACTTACAAGCAAAGGAACTTTGTTTAATTCCTTAAGATTCCAACTTGGTGCTTCAAATATGAGAAAAGATTGTAAAGAAAAATAATTTTTTTGCAAATCTTAAAATAATACTTTGGTGGTTTTGTCTTGCGCATTCAGTGCTTGTTGCTCAGCCTTTGAGTCCATTCTAGATGTATGAAACAATCTGGAAATTAAACTGATACTTTTTATTTAATACATAGCAAAATATGCTCAATTATTAATAGTTTGATTTCGGCAGGCACAAAAGATCATCTGAAATGAAACTTAAGAACTTGAATCGAGAAGATGTGATAAGCATTGAGTGAAGTCATTTCACGTAAGAATGAAATTTTTTTAGGAAACAAATATTTGAAAAAGTGAAAAACATACCAAAATAATATTTTTAATGAAAAATAACAAATGACAAAGACTCACCTGACGAAGTCAGCGGAGAGAAACAGAATGTTTGATCCGTATCAGTTATTCTTTGATTCACAGAACATTCATCATTCCTCAACGCATCAAAGCACATATTTTCAAACATTACTTCTAAAAAGTAATAATAATCCATCAGAAAAAAAAGCAAAGTAAACGTAAAAAGACCAGAGTACACAATTGGTAAAGAATTTGACAAATCTATAAACAATACTAAAAATTGATACAGAATTTTATCATCATATTAATAATAATAATAATAATAATAATAATGATTTAATTGTTATAATTATTCTTATTATTGATGTCAATATTATCGTTTTTAATAATATTATCATAGTTATCAACTAGAAGAATAATGATTTAATCGTTATAATTATTCTTATTATTGATGTCAATATTATCGTTTTTAATAATATTATTATAGTTATCAACCTAGAAGAATTAACATAAAAAATATTAAAAAAAATATTTCTTAACGCTATCGAAATTTTAGAAACGAGCAGCTCAATTTAATTCTGCACTCATTCATGAATGTCAATATTACTTTCAAAACGAAAATTGTTTCAGTCAAAGTCAATTATGGTCTTTTCAATAAATCTGGCACTTTTACAGGCTTTAAAGCTGGTTTAATAATTATACAAGTTAATACTGCTCTATGGACTTGAAGAAATATTCTTTGAGTTAAATTCGAATAATTATTGTTTATATGACTTCAAGAAATATGCAATTAGGTAGATGTTTTATCGAATTACATTCTTTTCACAGTTTTCATAGATTCTCTCTTGAAATTATGCTTCGGAAATTTTAACTGTGGAATTTATTTTAAAATATCCTTTCAGTTTGAACACAAAAAAGATTTTGTGACAAAGTTTTAAAAATAAATGAGTAAATAAGTTGAAAATATAAAAATCTTATTTATTCATTTATTTATTTTAGAGTGTTTTTGGCAGCTGGCTTTAAGCGTTTATTGAACAAATGTATTATATTTAACAATATAAAACTCTGAATGATTTTCCAATCATTAACAAATATGAAAATTGCTTATTTCCCTACTAATACATGCTTTAATGGTGGATAAAACAGTAAGACCAAATTTGCTTCAACTTTTTAATGCTTAAAAACATGATACAATCGTTGATTAATACTGCTAAATGTAAGTTTCCAAAGACTTCGCTACAATAACAACTGGAAAACACAAGAAAGTATGACTGCTGTTCATGAAGCTATGATTCTTTTATCCTCAATCCAAAAGCAAATTTGAAATTATTAAATTTTCATTTGCTCATACTGTAAATAACAATTGACAGATTGAGTTAACGAACAAATATAAGTATGAAATAACTATAACGACTAATTTACACGGATTTTTTGCACATTTATATGGCGGTGTAAAAAACTGATAAAAAACATAAATTTTTAGTTTCTCAAATCAATAAAAAATATTTCTTTAGGCTATCAAAATTTAAAAAATGTTAATAAATTATAACTTTGCATTTATAAAAATTTTCTGCAATAACTTCTATTTTGGTAAATTACGATGATAAATATGAGCAGTTCATATATGGTAAGACTATCTTAAAAATGAAGATACAAAAATTCTTGTAGAATACAAAACATTCTGTTCACGTATTATTATTGAACTACATTTTTATAGCACCAGAAATCACGTAGTGAGTGAATTTAACTTTTGCTAAGTAAATATTTGCAGAAAATAATGATAAAGCATGAGAAATTGTTGTTCTCGAGGTAATAATTGCTTTTCTGCATTTTATTGAACTTAAAAATTATTATGCAAATTATTATTAGGCTTCTGAAACTATTTTGATGTAACAGCAAATAATAAAATCATGTAGATAACAAGTATTCAATTTCATATTCAGTTAAAGGATGATTTAGGCTGTGAATGAAGTTCGTGGCGTCAGAGGTCAAAGCAGTCATAGCAGTGCTTACCTCTCCAACTCAAACATTCCATGCATTTCTCGTACAGCTGCTGAAATATGCAAATATATCAGTGAAAACACTGATTTGAAGATCAATTTGTGACTTCTCCCTGATTACTCTGTGTTTATCGAATTGCATCAATCATTATTTACTAAAAAAGCAAGCTATTTTATTGATATTAAGCAGAGAAGCTCATACTTTTTGAATACAATTTCAAGCATTTTTGTATTTAAAAGTTAAGTATAAATAGAAAATAAGCAGACGAACTTTGCCTTTTGCCAAATCACAAAACCAGTGGCACTCGTGAATCCAATCTCTGCAAATCGTCCGAAAACATCTTTGTGCCATCGATTCCAACTAAAACACAATGTGCTAAATGAATTTCAAAAATAATTCCGAAAATCATAGTATTCATTAATCTTTGTTTCTAGTCTAAGTAGTATGCACTGGCTGAATTCTTCAACTTTAGTAATTTCTGATTTTTCAAAGCAAATCTTATTTTGAAATATAGTGATACTGTGGGTCCAATAAAATGTTAATTATTTTAGCAAACATTTTTGATTTTTTCAAATGTCTGCAAATTAAGTTGTTTATATACTCTGTCATATTTACATTTATTCATTTATAATCTTTTATTATCACACAAACAAAGTTAATGGATGATATTGTGCTCTAAATGTTTCATGAGAAAATTTTATAATACTAGTTTTTTCACTGACCAACAATTTTAAATATTATTAAACACACTTCACACTATTTGTGATTATTATTATGTATAATAAATATTATCATAATGAATATTATTATTATAAGTATTATAATTATTATGGATATTATTATTGTGGATTTATTATTATGAATATTATAATTATTATTATTTTTATTATTATTGTGAATAGATGAACTTTTAACATGAAAAATGAAGTGTTTTCTTTTTTCCAATATCACTCATCGTACATTACACATTCGATGAGAGCAATTAAAAATGAATGTTTTTGGTCGTTTGCATACTTTTTGCTGCTTTCATTCTCCAAAAATTTTCATCAAAAATAAAGTTCGATTTCAAAAATTCAAATTATGGAGCACTCGAAATCGGATTAAATTTCAGTGTACAACACTGACTGATCAAATTCAATGCAAACGCATTAAACATATAAAGTTGCTTTTTTAATACCAAATCCAAGCGCTTGAATAATAAAGTTACAAAGTTATACGCGAACTTTCACGAATTAGTAAGAAATCAAGTAATTCCTTAATCAATTAATGTGCTTTGCGCATCATAATGAAATAACCGTTAATCTTAGCTTGAAGCGAAAGCACGTCACTGAATTGTATTTACAACATTACAATAAAACTAATAAGTCAAATGTAATGTACACTGTGAGCTTGAAGAATATGGAGAGGACAAAAAAATGATACTGACATTGGTTACTTCATATTTTTATTCCTAACAAATTCACATTTTTTAAAAAACAAATTAATTATTAAGTTTAAATTATAACGAAAAAGAGTAGTACTTATATCATCGTGAAAATGATAAGAATGTAGAAGTGCTGATATGATTATCGCAAACTGTAATAATTTACCTGATGATACGATTTTTGTTGATATGGTAGAGAATGTGAATAAAAAATTAGGTCAGTAATCACTAGTAAAATCAGAAGGTAACTTATGAAAGTTTTTGATGTCGATAAGGTAGGTGACATATCCGTCGAGAAAGAATAACAATAAGTAACAATTTCCTTCTTTATCGCTGATTATCAGTAATCATACAGACCAAACAGCGCAAGCGGATGAAAATTGATTGATTTCAATAATCTGAAATTGATAAGTTCACTGAGAACTTTGTGAGTTCAATCTGTTTCAAACGTTTCAGCGATGAAAAGTAGATAAAATGATAATAATGATGGAATGATACAAATTTTCGTGAACTCTGTCACTGATTAAAAACTTTTCAAATATTAGTGCTTTTCCAAAAGTATTCTACTGATCAAAAACATACAATTTATCAAGAAAGTAAAAACAATAAAGTTTATTATTCAGTTTTTGAGTATTTTAAGTAACTCTAAAATTTAATAAAAAATTTTTATTAAATCGGTTTAGAGATAAACAATGCCTAGAAAATCAGTTAAGAGAATGTTCCATTTGAACTAATTTACAAGTATTCCAGACAAATTACCAGTGATTGATTCACTGATATAATACTTGAAATCTCTTGCAGTATCAGTTCATCCCGATTGTAATATCAACCAAAAAAACAAAAAAAATGGAAGAAATTTAAAAAATTATAAATTTTATGACTGAACTTTCTGACCCTTATGACCAGAAGCAGTGGACTGATGAATATTATTATGTTCATTACATTAAATCCAAACGCTTTGACTTTTATATCTAAAAAAGTAAGCGACTAAATATGCAGCAGTAATTAAAAATTTTGACGTAAAATGATCAATGCAATTGAAAAAATATTGTAGAATCTGACCTCCAAGATTTATTTTCACAAAAGACATTTCTATGTCGAAAATGGCAAAAATTACTTGTCAATAATAATTTACGCATAATTTTTATACATAAACTCCACAATAATTGGAAAGGAATAACGGTCAAATTTAATTTTTTTAATAAAATTTTAAACTAAATTAATTTGCTAAACTTTGTGATCTCTTTGAAATATTACTATACTCAATTCAGTTTCAACAGAAGGCATACTTTAAAAGTATTTAAAACAAGCGTAGTTTTAGATGTGATTAAATGCGAATATCTTAAAAACAAATGAAAGTAAAATGTTATCATTACCAAAAATCATATGCACTGATCATCACTTGTAATCTCTTTAGCTGATTAATTCATATTAACCTTCAACGAGTGCTTATGCCGCCAATGATTTGCATGAATCTTTTATTTCATTAATAGCTAACTCTAACTCAAGCAATTCCATTTTATGGATAATAGTACTGTTAAATATCTCAAGTCAATATTAATGAGCACATTCAGACTCATAGATTCTGAAAAAATTGAATATATGAAAGTTATTTATGTATTGATACAGCATTTTTTTAAAAATTTTTTTTTATTTTTTTATTTTATTGAATTTTTAAACATCCAATTTTTGTAAATATAAATGCTATACTGGTTTTACATCCGTCGCAAATAATTTGAAATAAAAATAAAAATAATAATAATAATATTTCAGCAAAATAATAATTATATATTTGAAAGTAGCAAAAATTCAAGACTGATCAAAAAAATATTTGGACACTAAAGTAAATTAGTAAAGGTAAAAAGTGATTAAGTCAGTTACTGTCTGCACAGAGGTAAATCCTATTTCATGATGCAAATTTCGAATTGAATTTCACTTACTTTATCGAGTAGTCAATACCAAAGCCGGTTTTTTATTTTATTGAAGTAAACTTTGATTATGTAAACAGAAAAAAGTTCTGCTTTATTTTATTCACAGTAATATTAAAAATGGACGCAGAAATTTTATCAAAAACAAACGCGAAAATGATGCGAATTATTGCAGTCATTCATTCTAACGTAATTCATTCATTTTGAATTCTCCTCCAACTTACGTACGTTGTTGTGTATTCGCTGAAAAAAGCCATTCATTCATTGAAAAAAACCCGTCAAATTTACTTAATATTCCGAACTTCACTCCAGTAATTGCTTGCAATTTTTGTCAGTTCCTCAGAAGAAGAAGAACAATGGTTATCGAAGCTATTTTACCAAAGCTATGCTGTCTTCTGCACCTGAAATTGTCTGAAATTACCAACCTTTCTAACGCTGTTACATTAAGTTAGTGCTATAAATGAACAATTAAATTAGCAACTTAGTCAGTGAAGGAAGAAGGATTTTGCTTTGTTTTTGTGCGCATAAAAATATTTTTTCTACTTTGAATCTGTAACCAAAAAGAAGAATAGATGAAGGATGAGATAAACGCTTAGCTTCTAAATTTACATTCAGAAATAAGGAAAGTGTAACATGAATTGCAGGTAATAATATAACCTAAATATGGTTCAATCAGTCTTACAATTTCAATAGTTTACTGCACAAAGTGTGCGCAGACTGACTACAATCAATCCTTTTGATATAAATTTTTATCACTTTATCTCTTTTGACGGTTTGCACTGAAAATTTTCTCCATCATAACTTGTTATACTTTCTGAGTTTAATAAGTTAAGCTATGAGCAAAGGAGCGTTCACACTTTACCCACTTTTTGATCACTTTTACTGAAAACGTTAGCAAAAAATCGTATCTCATCATTTTATGATCAAAACTTTAGAATTTATCGTACTGAAATTACTTGCACGAACCCCAACTCATCTTCTGCTTAATTTTGTAAATAGTATTCAGTTTAAGAGAAAACTTAACTGTCAAAATTATTTGTACTAAAACATTAACCTTTCTGATTGCTTTTTTTCTAATTACAATGTGATGAAAACCCAAGTTAACACTTATGACAAAAGTTTACTGTTTTATTGCAATAAAAAGTAGACTTCAGCTGATCTAAGATCTGTAAATGCTGCACTTGACCTCTGGTCACAGAGATTGCATCAAATCAAAAGGTCAAAATGAGATAAATATTGCAGTCGCTGCTCAATTTGTTCTCTCCTTCCTCTTCAATTTAGGCTTCTTTCAAAGCTGTTATTGTGCAAATCACTCACAACTTCACTTTATCTTAAGTAAACCAAAATGCTACTCAAAACTGAATGCAAAGCAAAGTCTGTCAAGTCTAGAGTGCTTTTGTACATACAGTTCCCCCTTTTGACAACACTCTTATCCCTCTAATAATCTATACTTTGTCTGCTAGTATTTATTATCCATTTTACTTGCATAGATAATTAACGAGAATTCTAGCTGATTATTTATGCTACTCGTTAATTATTTGCAAAATTATAATTTTTACTGTTCACTTTTCTTCTATTAATACTTGCATATACCTGTCACGTACTGATTGTATTATTTCTGAGCTAAATACATATATATGCAGTCAACAACAATTATTCTTGTGCATATTCAATGATATTGTAATGGGATCGGTTCAGAATGCTCTTTTGACAGAAAAATGCTAAAAATATTATTTTTACTCTCAGACAAAATATGCAGTATTAGCACAGTTGAATGAAAAACATTTGGTTGTACCGTTTCAGATACAGTAACAGGAAGTAAACAGAATGGATTAGAAGTAAGTCTAGATTCAGATTACTTTCTAGACATTCAAATTTGTAGACTTTCAAAACGAACATATAAGCTCGTCACATGTATGATCGACGAATTTACTTGGTTGAACTTTTGTTCATTTGTCAATAAAATTAGAAATCTCAACAAAGTCAAATTTGTACTTACTTTCTGGATTGAATGCAAAAAATTCATAAAGTAATTTCACAAAAGTTTCGAGAGATTCCTGAAGTCATCCGGTAGATATTATATTACGTCCATATAGAAATCTGGTCATTAGCTCGCCAAAGACAAGAAAAAAGGTCAGAAAAACACGTTCAATGCATTACACAATTTGAGTAGAAATTTTTTTAAATTCTCAATCGAATTTTTTGTTGACTTTCAGAATTAAAACTGTTCCATCTGAAAGCACACTTTTTAAGAATTTAACTAAGGATTCACAATGCGATGAAGTTTAAGTGGTGAAAAGTAAAGAAACAACTAAGTTTCAGTACCAGTTTCTTTTTTTAATTTTCTCTTTTCTGATGTGCGATTTTTATTTCTAACAAATTCAAATTTGTACAAAATAGTTTTTCAAATACAAAAAGTATGGGAAAAATTTAAAAAAAAATCAGTATAATACAATTTTGAGAATGAAAATTTTTGTGAGTTTTACCAATGTGCGACATGCTTAATTTTATTTCTAAAACTGAATTTTAATGATTTGTTAAGAAATTAAATATATTGTTCAGATCACACATCCACATTGTGTCACTTTAACATTTTTCAAGCGAAATGACCGCTGCAGACCTTCATTATTCCATTCAATCACCTTAAATATTATAAAATAAACTTTGAAATTATATGCACAAAATACGTGCAAAAATAAGTGTTGTATAAAACACAAAAAAGTTATGCAAAGCATGAGCATGAAGAACGATTACGTGTTTCCACGTAGCGTGATGAAAATTTTTTGCATTCATTTGTAGTTTTAATTGAGCATAATAAATTTTCAATGAATTTAAATAAATTTGATGATATGAATGTGAAAATTATGCACAAATTTTCAGAAATAATCATAAAAACACAATTGAATTTCACATTTTCAGGTGCAGTTTGTTTCATTTTGATTCGAACTTACGCTGATTGATGTAAATTTAATAGGTACGCAGCACACCCATTTATGTTTTAATGGATTGAATTTTGAATTAGAAGTTTTCAGCGTCCGAACTAAAGCACTACGATCGTTTATGGCTGGAATCAGTGTTTGGTTGCAAATTCCCTCGCAAAAATTCATAATGAATCTGAAATATTCATTGTTTTAAATAAAAAAGCAATTACTAGCAGTGAACAGTATTTAATAAAGACAAAACAAGTCAACATCTCTTTTAAAAATATTTCATGAAATAGAATCTAATCCACTAAGAAATATCTAAAGGATAAATTTTTGAATCAGTAAATTACTGTAAAAGCAGAATAAGCAACCCGTCAGGTGCTGATATATGCTCGAAACCGCTTTTCTGAAACTGGAAATATCGTGTTTTCAAGCAACATTTTCTATTCGAACAATCTCTGTCGTATCGAACTTCACGCTTTTGTCGACAGTTTTGGTATTTTCCTGCTTTTATTGATAGAATTGGCTGTACAAATTCTGAATATGGCTGATCGAAATGAAGCTACAAGCTATTCAGTTAGGTCACACGTGAGATTTGCGAGTGCTATTCATATAAAATATCAAAGTGTAGGGAGCTAAATTATTCCCTTCGATAATATTTATAGCAATAATGATTATTAATTTATCATGGAAAGAATTAATACCAAAATGAGAAAGATTAATTAAACAAAAGTACTGTTTACTTTCAGTAAGATTTGCTGTGTACCATTTTTGAACCAGCTCTCTACTTCGTTGCTCAAATCGAAATTTTCATGTTTTCCAAACTTTAATTTGAGGTCATTGAGAAAAACTTGTGCATGTAACATATTCGCACTGTTGAAGTTTAGCTTCGCCCAAATTAAGTGAAAGTTTTGTTCTTCATCACCATGAATTGATAACAAATGCGTCAGGTCAAACTGATAACAGTACACAAGCGCCTCGGAGCAAGCGGTGTTTAAAAAAAATTTTTGTAATTATTAAAGAAATCTTTACTACAAAAATTTTTGTAATGAGTAATAAAGTCATCATGATCTAATATTTCTAAAATTTCTGATCTTCATAGAATCTTGTCTTCTTTCTGATATTCAAATTTGAACTACTTTTTGATATCCAAATTTAATACTAAACTTTTCGCTTGCAATCACTGATTTCATTCATTGACATAAATTTAATTTGCTAACTTTTGCTTCCAAAAATTAGAAGTCTATAAATTGTTAGACTATCTGGACCATTTTGTGTTTCAATTAAAACGCTTTTTTTTCTCGTACTGATATGCCTTGTAGTAGACGTGAAGTTCTGAATAAAACAAAAATTCGAAAACAGATTCTAAACGTAATTTAATTACGCGTAAATGTGGTAAAATTTAGTGAAAACAAAAAAAATTAATGCATGAAAAGCAAAATTTTGATTGAAAAGTCATCTTTAATAATTTACTTTTCTGGTCATAATTTTTGTTACGTTAAATGACCAAAGCAATAAACAGTTTACATGCGCAACTACGCACCTTAGCTAATGTCATAAGTAAGTTTCTCTTGTGCTGTTCGAGCACGAAATCTTCATATTCCCACATTGATAAGCGTCCGTATATATCAGTAAATAGTAATATGATTACCACCGAAAGATTGCCAACAAATATCATCGCTTGACTTTAACTTTATAACGAATAAACACTCTGAGCATCCAGCACTTTTAGCTGTTTTTGCAAGAAAAACTGAAAAAACACTACGTTCGTCATTTGTCTACATTATTTATGTTTGTTGACCTTTGAGATTAAAAATAATAACATCGAGAATTGATTTCCGACTGAGCGCAATGTACCAAAGGGCAAAATGACACATAATTTGTGCGGGAAATCATTGTTTAACCGCAAAAAATAAATGCCAGTTTACTTTGCTCGCTTAAGAATCAATCTGAATTCGAAAATAAAAATTTCTGTTTTTTTGAAATTTATCAAAACAAATTTTGTGCGGTTGTATGAGCAACATTTGTATAAGGTTTAATACATTCAGCATATAAATTGTAAGCAATTTAATATATTCAAATGCAAAGAAATGAACAAAAGCAATCATAACTTTTATTGTTATTTAACGCAATAAAAATTTGACAAACAAAAAAATCGTTTAATAATCAGAGCAAATATGGGAGCTGTGTACGGCTATAATTACAAAACTTGGATTAAAAATTTGATTATCAATTTTTAGTAAAAATGGCCATTAAAAAAATTAGATGCACTGAAATGTAAAAGTTGAAGCTGAAGTTCGTTGCCACTTTATTAGCTTTCCGTTGCAAAGCATAATCTGCTTTTAATTTTTGAAATACTGCAGTTATTAATAAAACTCATAAAGTTTATTCTTGAATTTGCTTACAAGTAATTAACTTAATTCGTGTAATTATGTTGTGATTTTTGTGAATGTTTGCAATAACAGTTAGCAGTTTAATTCTGATTCATAATTCATTCTGCCTGATCACTTTGCTTTGTTGCGCAGTAAAAGTTTGAGTTCTATCAGATGTTACTTCTCCTTCTTCAACCTAAAACTTCAAAACTACTGTAAAAATAAGTTTATCAAACTACACACTTATCATTTTCTGTACAGTATAATGATTACCTCTATATTAAAGTATTTTATACTAACTTCATAAATATTTATATAATAATTCTTTTTATCATTTAATTTTAGTAACAATTCAGAAACTGAATAAATGTTGCATTTCTAAACTAAGAAATTGAATGCGCAACTTAGTTGCGTGAAAATTTTTGCTTTCATATTTAAAATAGTAATTATCAGAAATGACCATACCATGCATGCATAGCATAACTTGTTGTTCTCCTGATAACATGATGCACAATAAGTGGCTGGACAATAAAAACAGTGGATTAAATTTTTCTTACGATATTTGGCTTCACACATCAGACAACGTCCAGTTTTGAACAGAAAATCTATGATTGTTTCTACAATTGTCTCAGCGAATAATTTGCTGAATTAAAATAATATCATTTATTAAATTTCTGCTTAATTATCTGCATTTGTAGTAAAATAATATCAAAAAAATTTATATAATTACAACTGCAATGCGTATTTCTTACTATTAAGCTATTCAAATCCAAATCTGTATTAGTGCTAAATAACTTTGATATAATCCATCTTATCAATTTTTGTAATTTTGCAAAAATGCTATATGATTTCTATGAAACTATTGCTTAGTTTTTATGATAATTCAATTCAACATAAATAAAATTTTGCTTGCCTTTTTTGCTCAATATATTCTCGATGTAAAATTCTTCGTTGTACTTGGAAACGTATACGTGCACGTGCTAATTTACGACCATTTATGCGCACAAACAACATTTTATTATAAAGATGAATAATACGTGCTTTGCAACGCTTGCGGAAAATATTTCCAATAACATAAAAAAGTGTCAAGCGTTTAATAACGTAACCGAAAATGACCTTAAAATTTCTGAGATGACTAACTGCGTATAAAACCTTTTGCTTTGCTAATAAACGTATACAATCAGTTAGTCAGTGCAAAAAGTAATTGTTTGGATTTATTGTGATAAATTAATTCATATGAAAATTTATTTTACTTTGGAGCACTTCAAAGTCAGTCCACTCTTCACCCTTTAAGTCTGTTTGGCAAATTAATAAAAATTGCAAAAGAGCAAATTTTTGGTTGAGATTTATAAAATCTGATCAGAAACATTGAGATAAAGACTTGATTACTTGTGACGTGAGAAGTACGCACCTGAAGTAAAAACATAATTCCGAGTGGGAAAAAGATATACTTTCCAGCGTACACCCAGTCCGGTGAAACCGGATTGTATTTACATTCTTCGAGAGATATCGTCATATTTGCGTGCTTCGCATAATCGAATTCCAGTAAGTCTTTCACTAAGTCAGCAATAAATCCTGTTCCATCAATCTGATTGCAAACAAAATTAAGATTAAAGTTTACGAGAATCAGAAACTTAAAATTTAATAAGACAAAAACAATAAGCTATTCGTAAATTTGCGAGTTATTCCAAATTAGATAAAAGTTTGCATGCTCAACGTCAGAAGCTTTACTTTCAGAATTTCCCTTTAACGTCACGATACCAGTGTTATTTTAATGTCATTAACGTGAGCAAAGCCGTAGTAATTACAGTGCAAAAGAATAGATTATGAAGATGATATAAAATTAATAATATTATTAATAATAATTTTTAAAGTAAAAAAACTAAAAAGAAAATTTGTAAAAATAAAAATATCACAATAATGCGGATTCATCACGTAAATTTAGATTTTTGTCATTAAGACGTAAAAGTCATTATTTTAAAGTTTTGCAATTAAGCTTAAATCACTAAAATCATACTTTAAAACTGAAAAATTGCTGACTTTCGGTGACTATATCTTTTTCCGTATACTTTGAAATCTAAAATATACCATTACTATTCAGATTTTAGTGAAAAAATTACAAAAAATTATAAAATTTGGATAAGTTACAATTTAAGACGACGATAATATCGATAAAATAATGATAATAATAATAATAATAATAATAATAATAATAATAATAATTAAATAATAATAATAATAATAATAATAATAATAATAATAATAATAATAATAACATATAATAATAATAATAATGACTTACGCTATAAATGATTTTGTAGAAAACGAAGTCAATGAATGTGACAAAGCAAGAAATGATAAATAAGAAGATGAACTTGGCAAGAGGTAGCCAGGAGGTGCCAATTTCTGTCTTCGTTGGAGGTCTAAATTTAAATCTTAGATGTCCCCAATAATTAATCTATTTAAATAATTTGTTTAAACAAAGAATAGTCTAAATATCATTTCTTTCTTCTGATGATAATTTCAAAAAAGAATTTCGCTAAGTAACTTACGAAAATGGCGTCATTAGTTTATTGGCTTGTATTTCAGCTTTACTTAAAGGATACAAAAATATTTGGCCGTCATTTCGACGCTTTTCATCGATGTGCCAAAAATAAGGAGTCAAGAAAACATTGTTAAAATCGATATTATTTAGATAGTTCTGAATCATTCTTACGGAATCACGAAATATTGTATAGATCATAAGAATAAGTAGATAGCTCAAAATTTGCTTAATTGTTACGAGCATAATCTGAAATGTTGACATGCATTCATTTGAGGGATAGTTTTATAGTCTGATATGCATGCAGATAAGCTAAACCTCAGATAATGATGATCACTTATGAATATAATATATAATCGAGTGATAATAAGGTATCTTAATGAATGAAAACAATTGGCTCAAAAATACAGTAATTTTTAATGGATTTCGATCCACGATATTTCTTTCTACTCAATACTCACGCATTTTTAAAAGTCCTAACAATAATAGGTTAAATAACAGTGTATTATTATAGTAATTTATAAGAATAATGATTTATAATGATGATAATTTTTATAATAATAATAATATTGTAAATTTTTTTTGAGTAATGTAATCTTGAAGCTTAATGTTTTTTAATTGCTCAGAAAAGCAAAATGATTTTCATGTTAGTAACTTTTAAAAATTATAATTGAAAAATTATTCAAAAATTCACCTTGAGCAAATGAAAATTCTGAGCTATTTTATACTGTACTTCCTTAATACTGTAAACTCGAACAATTTGAGGTTCAACAACCGCTTTGTAATGTAACTAAAAATTGTTTAAACTATTTTCGACTTTCAATAAACGCACAGATATAAGAGATAGCAAAAAAATGATTCAGAAAGTTACATTAACACGCAAGTGATCCATCACGCTTTCGGACAAGTTGTATGCATCTGTGAGGTCACTATCCAAATTTTTAGTGCGTGAAATGACTTGATTGGTCATCTGATCACAAAATGAAATTGCTTCAGTAACCTCAAATCAAAAAATTGATCATTTGTAGTTTGCATAAAAATTAATAGTTTTTATTATAGTTGACAATGTTTTTTTTCAGAATAAAATTTTAACTTTCTTGCTAAAATTTCTCTCCAAGATGAATAACTCACAGTACTGATTTGCATAATAGAGAATGTTTTCTGTTTTTGTTTTCAATTTTTTATTCATATTTTTGCAAATGTTATTGAAGTTTGCAGACGTTTAATAAAGTGTAAAGATGTTCAGAACCTTTGTAGAGACTTGACAGATCAGAAGAGTGTCGAACTGATCGCAAATTTTCGCTCTGAACAGTGGTAGAAACCACAAAATTGAATAACATTTGTTCTGCAGCATTAATTATTCTGCTAAGTAAATTAGAAAAGACTTGGAAATATTTGAACGTGAAAGTATTGCGATTACTTAGCCAGTGAGATGAACTGCTACTGTAGAGAGTTTTTCACTTCTAGATCATACTAATCTAGATCACTTCTAGATCATACTAATATGAATAAAAAATGCAATGGTTTGGTTCTCAAAATGCATTTTAGTAGACTGAAATGCCATACCTTCAAGTCGAGAAAGGTTTCATGGCATTTTTTGATGCCTTTATCAAAAACTTCGTTGCATTGATAATGCATTCGTATTGATAGCAATTTAGAAAGCTGATAATTAACTTTACTTTAGAATTGAAAAAAGAAAAAATAAATTTGCATGCAAAACAATGACTCTAATTTGCTTGAAGTAACTCAACTGCATCCGTAAAGTTCAGAAATACCTTTGAACATATTACACAATTTAATTGCTGCAAACGTTTTTACAATAATAATAATTATAATC